CACTGCTCCAGATCGTCCAGCTGCCTCAGAACTCTTCACTCCTCGCCCATTTGCAATACTTTCACCGAAATCCATTTCTCCAATCAGGCTTTGCAAAAACTCAGGAAACAAACTAATATTAGTGACAGCTGTGCCGTAGTTGTATCCAAGTGAACTCAAAACTCGGCAGCTGCAGCTCCTACTAACACGCCCAAAAACAAATGTGAGGCGATGCTGCACTAGTGCGTAATAAATCGCTCGGTCTCCCAACCGCGATCCATACTCATCTGAAAGACACTCAGAAACACCGGGATGCCATATCTATAATATGCGCCATTACAGAATCAACGTCGAATTCCCTGAAAGGAAAGTATATGGACGATCTGACCCAATGAAACATTTTAAGCAGCTGACTCAGTGTTCCGACTAAGCTCATTAACCTAACGAAGATCACCTGTCACCTGAATTTCAAGCACTTTGGTGAAGCCAGGCTACTTCGGGTTGTGATAAACCCTGTCGATGAAGAGGAAGTCGCGTTGCTTTCCACAGCTCGTCTCCATAACGAATGATGTTTTGTCTTCCAAGATACTTCATAGGGCGTGCGCAAGCGAGCGAGGCAGAGCTTATAAGAATATCGTAGGTAGAACAGTATTAGTCCATGGCGTCTCCTAGTCCGATGAATACGAAGCAGGGGTTCACGACCAGTAGCAGTGACGCTCTATTCGTCAAACCCTGTGCTTAGTTGACATTGTAGCTGCTTTCCTCTCAAGTCTGCAAAGAGCAGCAAGCTACAAAAGGTGCAGAATAAAGTACCAGACTTGGTAGTTACAAATGAGGAACTCATGCTAGATGGAACACTGATAAACATCCAACTAGAGCTAAGCGATCATGTTACCACACATTGCGACTATGTGTTTTGCGAATAATCATCGCAGCTAGTCTCAGGCAGAGAGCCACTACACATCCAGGAAAGCGTCATCCTGGATGTGCGGTGCTTGTCTGGCGGAGTCTAGCTGCGATGAATCTTCTCAATAAATCCTCATACTACTCACTAGCTGTGTGTTAGCTGTGAACATACATTGAGCCAGCACTATCACACGCTAAAATATTCCAACCGATCTGGCTGCAATGATTGATTTGGGATTATTGAAACCTGGCGCCCCTGAGAGCAGCTGGTTAGACATTTCAGCAAGTTGATCGTAGCTGCTACAGAAATTAAAAGGATTCGTCCTACAAATCCAAAGTCTTTAGTCAGAATGAAAACTTGAAAACGGATGTCACTAATGAATGCAATTCGGTATGCTTATAGACCCTGTGCTAGTTCCGCAACCTGGAGCGATTATGTGACCAAGCGAAATGCTTGTAATACGCTTGGTGGTAAGGACAAATTGGCTCACCAACAACGCTTGGTCTGTAAATTCGCCAAAAACTAAAAGCTCCTACGTAAGCATGCTAACAGTATTCACAAAGTGAAAGACGGTTTCCCTCAAGTTAACGGTGCGCTGCAGAAGCAGTAAATGCCCTACGAGACGTCCACCGGTGTTACCTAAGCACATGCATCGCCCAAATTTCAGCACTTACTAACAACACGTTAACCGCCACATCTGTGTCGAGGAAACTGCCCTCAGTGCCATCTACAGTTCTCTTGGCATCGAAGACATCCACTCGAGGCCGTTGAACGTAGTAGCATAACGCCGGCCGAGCCATTAGCGTATTGATTCCAGACGTGCTCGGCTAAACCAATTGTGCCGATATGTAGAAACATGGACTAATCACGAGGATTTTCGAAAGTGGCAGTTCTTGGAACGCGCGAAATATCGCCAAGTAGTCCTGCTTTCTGTGCCCTCAAAGATGATGGAGGCAATCATCGCCAAGACCTTAGTCGACCATGTAGAACGCTACATTAACGCACCGCATCAGCTCGATATCTGCCGACACAGCTCATGCACAACGAACCTACTGATTGCACGCAGTAGTTGGACGGAAGAAGCCGACAAAGGGAGTGGGGCCGACGTCAGATACCTCGACTTCTCCCAAGCTTTCAACCATCTGGACTAACGCATTCTGCTCCACAGGCTGGAAAACTACGGAGCTTGGGATCCTGCCCTTGGGTGGACCAGGAATTTCCTGAGGAATCGGCAAATGCTGGTTAGAGTTCGAAGTGCGTATGCGAACCAACACGGCATGCTGCGGAGGGCATTCAGGCGGTTTGATCTATCTGTCGGTCCGCATTTGTTTGACACACTTGCAGCCTCATGTGGAATACGCAATCCAGGCCTGATAGTCCCGGCACAAACAAGATCTCGCAGCACTCGAGACTCCACAGCGACCAGCCACGAAGCAGGTCAAAGGGTTGTTTCACCTTCCATATCAACTTAGGCCAACGACCCTAAAATTGTACAGCGGCCGGTATCGGCACCTATGTGACTACCTACTAATGGCCTACTAGATTCTAAGGAGCCCCAACCACGTTTGCCGCCACCATCTGCAACTCACAACACGAATTTGAGAGGCAGCAGTACAAAATGACCGCTTAATACGGTCGGCGAAATGTATACTTTCTTTGTGTCCGCCAGTCATGGAAAGCCCTTCCTAATTATGTTGTTTACGCCCCCACATTGTGTTTAAAAAACGCCTTGAAGTTGCCCTAACCCATCTATTACGAAATATCTCTCGTGTACACCCAATATGTTGTTTCAGCATGCACGCTGGCCATATTTAAAAGGCGTTTGGATGACGCATTCCGGCACTTAGGTTTGTTTACTTGAAGCTGCTCACCATCCTACTCCCGAGAAATACTTTTGGGTGCCAGTGTTGGGATGAGCGAAGTCCACCTCAAGTGAACCGAGATCTCAATAGAGGTTGCTTGTAGCAACTCAACCACACAGCGTATTCTCTAATTACTACCTTGGATTTACCTTTCTTCGCCTATTGAAGCTAAGGAACCGTTCGGAGTGCAGGGCTACTAAATAAAAACGATAAATCCACTAATCTGACAATAAAACTACCAACTGCTTTTTCATTAAGGTCTTTCGCTACTTCATCAGTCCACCCAACGGGGATTGTAAAGCAATGCTTCTTAACCCTTCGTATACAAGCATTGTTCATTGATATTAACGTGACAAACGGTGTCCCAACCGGCATTACTCTGCCCAATCGGCGTTGGCTCATTTCTTCATGCATAAGTGAACACTAGGGTGAGTCTACCAAGATGATTTTCATTTATTTCACTATGCTTTCCACCATTTTCGTGGTGCTCATTTTGGTCATTCTACAAGACTTGTTAAACATTTGCTTTCTTACCCCTAATATACCATTTTCATCGTATACGTGGCCACTAAGGAAGGTTCACTATCCTTGCAAACTTGTAGCGGCCCGACGATCTCTATTCGTACGAAGTATGGGGGGAAAACTCATCCAAAGTATTTAGCCTTACCATATACCCAGGGAGTCTACAGGGCCCGTATGTGTTCGCATGCATGCGTGTGTAAATTGATCGACACACACACATTGGCAGTGTCTTCGATTTAGATCCGCGCTAGCATTTACGTAGGTTGACACCCCGGTTCAAATAGGGTCCTATGGCTACCTGGTGAATTGGTGTAGTCATAACCGTATACTACAAGCACTGTACATAGGCTATCTAAATCAACTATTTTATTCAATTCAATTCAAAAAAGAACGCGGGGTGTATATTCAGCTTAGTGCTTATCTTTGTGGTTTTCGTTTACCAGCAGGGTTGTGGTGCTTGGTTGCATCACGCGCGCAACCCCATAGTTGACCTCGTCACTGCAAACTCATTAGTCTTTAGAATTCGGCCTTTCATGAGGTGTAAGAACAAATGCTGAGAAATATCTACATGCATCAATTATATAATACAATGAAGAGATCCGAGTTTCACAGATGTAGCATTGGAAGCAACGCTCCAATGTCACAGCCGCAAGATCCAGTAAGAAACCGCAACTTCGGCTCCACATTCTGGAAAGATTCCAAATAAACACTCCAGTAAGTGGATATAGTGCACTTTGCATTCTACTCAACTACCTCTCATGCTGCATTGAAAAGATAATTACATCGCTACCAGTAAGCAGTACGTCATGATATGATTCTTCTTCGTTTCCATGTACGAGATGGTCTAAATCCACCCATTTCTTCTCATAGGATGTCATAGAAAATGGAGGATTTAGCCGAATAACCAAATTAGAAATATACTTCACCAGAATGTTCATTGGAATTGAGCTCCCAGTAATTTCCAATGCAACATGTTTCCTTCATCAGTTTGCATCTCGTATCCGGCCTCCACATTTGTCGTTAGGACGCATAACTGATACGGGGAAATTTATGAAACACATCCCGACCAGATTCAACCCTGTTTCGCAAACTCATAGTTTGGAAATTTCTCTCGATTAATCAACACAAAATCTAATGTGCGCTAGGTTCCCTTCTCTCCCCTTATTATTCCTCATTCCTTAGGTCAGCGTAAGTGTACGGAAGCGAATAGCAGTTCAAATGATTGTTGTAATGCTGCAGCTGATCCTAGGATTCGAAAATTTAACGCAACATGGAGATGATCGATGCGACACCTACCTGGATAAAAGCTAAACCGTTATCGCGAGACACTCATTGGATTGGCTGAAAGTCCACAAAGTAGGATGGACACAAAAATCTCATACACAAGCGGAAATTTTCGCCAACTGGCGAATTTGATACATGAGCCCCTATAGTAAAATAGGTCAGCAGAAAGATTATCAGAATCAAGGGCTCTGAAAAGTTTCAAAGTTTGGAATTTCCTTCAAATCACTAGTTCAGCAGGAGGATTTGTGGGGCTAGACTAAGCACATACAGTAAAACGGCAGTAGTTCGGATTTTACTCAAACTTTGAGTAACACCGATAGCATAGTGAAGTACCGCGGTTACGTGAGGCACTTAGAGTAAGGAAGTGTAATTTCAAAATATTACAAATACAAATTATAAGCGAAAACGCTTGGGCTATCCCAAAACCCTGGGAGAAAAGGAAGCTGTTCTGGACATTTGTATTTTATTTGTATAGGAACGCAAACTGATTCGATCGTGCGATCAGGTTAAAAGTGTTGAAGCGCCCACGAGCACAATTTATTTGACGCGGACGAGAGAAAAGGTGTTTCAACGGTAGGATCAGAAGAAACTAACATAGACAAGAGGGATATGGATGCAAAGTGTGTGTGGAAATGGTGGAAGTAAGGCGAAGTAGTGTTGGATGAGATGGGTGTACCGTAGGAATTATTTTAGGGGTCTGATCAAACCTGATCGCCGTATTTCTTCACGCTGATCAAAGAAAAAAGGAGAAGAGCGTAAGATGTCTGCAACCGTAAAGTAACGATCTGGTCACAACAAGAGCAACTAAAATGCTCTAAGTTATCATGTGAGAAAAAGTACACTGAAAAAAGCATAAAAGCTCAAAACATGTCAAGCTGGGTTTCCGGATGAGGGAAGAACGATAGGTATTTAGTTTTAGGCAAGAAAACTACATGGAAAATGCGAACAGGGGAAAAGAGAATTGCTGCACTCAAGGTACGCTGCAGGTAATGACGCCACTGTGGTAGCAAAGCACGCCTTAGTGCAAGGCGAGGGGAGGAGACAAAACGGATGAAAAAGTACAACGCTAATGATCAGAAGGAAGACTCAATGTTACACGTACTTGCGTAGGGCATATTTTTGAGGTCAGGGTCCTCATAAGTACAATTTATTCAGAAACATCCGAGAGAATCAATGAGATAGCATTATTAAAGCCTTCATTACCACGCGTCCCAAAAAATCCCATTCGCACATAGCTGGCCGTTGACCACCAGAGGGATGAGGCGTCCACCTTGTAGCCCAAGAGTCACCGGCTCGAATCTGCATCGGCGGGGGGCGACCCCGTAATATCCCTAGCCGACGCGCGATTGGCGACGGTTGCCTGGCACCTGCGTATTGTTGATGCCTTTCATTTTTTCCGCATGCAACTTAGCATCATGCACACTTTAATGAGATAGTGTGGGAAGGAGATGGGGACTAGAATGGGTGACAATGAGGACTAAAAGCAGTGAGTTCTATAGTCAATGACATAATTTACTACCATCTAACCATTGATTTTTAACCTCTAACTCTAGAGTTAGATCCAATAAACTAAACTTCCTGCTCGTCATGCGGCGACAGAACACACACTCTATGGAAGTAAACTCGTCACCACTACCAAGACAAGCAAAGTCTAGCGGGTAACAATAGCCAAAGAACCGAAGGTATCTTAGGGTGTCGCACAGAAAAGGAAGATACATTGCCTTAGACGAGGACGGTTCTCGCTTTGGTCACGTTTACATGACCTCCAAGATCAAATGAATCTTATCTGGAGCCAAAGATGTCGCAAATCCACAGGGATAGCTGAAAGGTTCACAGAAAGTGAACTGTTCTCCTAATCAGGAAACAAGTCTGTCGAGTGTATACCAGTTTTTTGCATCTGTATTTCGATGTCAAGCATGATGCTTGTGGATATAGGATAATACTCAGAAGGAGAACGGAGAATGTGCTAGATGATGCGAGTGCTTCTGAACGCTTGCCGAAGGTTAAATGCACTGTCTGATCATCGTCGAATGGTTTAACAATGGGATCTGGATAACTCAGTGTTCACCGAGGCAAGCTCGTGGAACACGCATCATTGGACTTCATGGGATGGAGTACACGACGCTCCTGACAATGAATGGGAAAATATGACGTTAATGTCAAACTCCACTGGCTGTCTAAAATGAATTCGGGGATTCTTCTTAAACATGGAGTGTGCGAAACACTAAAGTAGGAGCATGTTCATCACACACAACCTCAGAGAAATATGCTTACGAACAAATACAGAAAACTGAGAAGGAAGCACAGAAATCGGTGAACATAACTACAGTGGTTCCGTAGTACTCTGACGCTGTTCTTGTAACTGGTGCAAGGTAAATAAGTAGCCTGCGCAATAACGAATCCGTCGAAAACACACCTGTTCTCCTATCCCATGGGATCCACTATAGAAAGAAAAACGGGGGAGTAGCGCAGACTGTCATCTTTATATGATTAAGATGACCGGTGTGGACATGACTCCGTGAATGGGAAGGCTTCATCCTACATGCTTCCTTGACAAGAGGTTCCAGAATAAACTGGGAGAATCAGTGGATGGCCAGCGCTCGCGAGATGTAATAGTCCAACACTATGGAGAAATCACAACTATCTTAATCTGATGGAAGCACCAGAGAAGTAGAACGGTGCAGCTCGGAAGTGGTCGGGGTGTTACCAGTGGGACAATAATGAAGCCGCTGCGTTAACATGCCCCGCTTCTACAAGCGCTATCACAACGCAGAAACCAAGTAAGTGCCCCATCAATTGTTCCACCCAACGATTTAGGCGACAATATGACTGATGATTGCGTGTGCTGGTACTGCCTTCGACTAGTTCACTGGTGAGTGAGATCCAGCGAAAATGAAATCCGGTTAGCTGAAACTAGTCGATATGAAGTTACTGTTGACGCATTTCACGTTATCGAGTTCGATTTCGCTTCGAGCCGCAACGCATGACTTATCCGGTCGATTTGGGTCATGTTTTGAATGTTTTATGAACGGCATCGGACCAAGTCGTTGGGCTTTCAAATATTCAGTGCTTGGTGTTGTTAGAAATGATAATGTCGCACACTGAAATCTATGTACCATGTGCGGTGATAGCTGCGCTGCTTTCCGGAAACTCGATGTCATCAGAACAAAGATGCAAACACATGTTGCGCAAGTCGTGTGGGATGAGAAAACCCTGTGGTTTCGCTCAAGGGCATCGGTTGCTGCACTTCCATGCCAATTTTGCGGTTGGCAGTCGATCACATGCTCAAAAGATGAGAAGTCGAGAGTGGAGTCATATCGCCTGAAGAAGATGGAAACGTGCTGTGTGCCAATCCGTGCCAGTCAGCAGCCTGAGATGAACACCGATACCCAGGGAACCAGAATTCTGTTAGCTAAGTTGCAGCCAGAGTTAGTTTTTGCCCAACACTGTGAAGCAGCGTCAGCAGGTGACGTAACCAAGCCTCTGTGAAGCTTAGTGTGATACCTCGTTAGCTACTGTAGTACGGAAGATCACGTCCATGGCAATGGATATTAAACGATGGAGAAAACAGACATTCGACGGAAACAACCAATCTGATATCACCAGATCCTCCGTCAATGATGTGAAGAGGAGCTACGATCGGCTGCGGTCCAAAATCAACAAATGATTTGAGACACGAAGAAACGCGATCGATTAATAGGGTAACGGATGCAGATAAGAGTCCAGTTGATGGAGTTTGGATGGTAAGTCTTGGCCAATTAGTGTGAATGGTGTCGGATTTCGGCCATGGACAATAGGCATTTGCAGAGAACAACTGGTGAGTGGCGGGAGCACAACATTTGCAACAACAGTGTTGGACGGTGCGTCCTAAGTAATATTGGTTTTCCTCTAGATAGAATAGTACCGCTGCGTCGATTGAGATGAATGGATCCCGTCCTATGCATGGTGTGCGAGCGACTAGTCCGACACACTTTATTCGCTCGTATGGGACGACACCGGAAGAAATCGCGCAGTGGATAGTCGACCAAATGGTGCAAAATTGTCAAAGCAGTCACTTCTGGTTTAGCTGTAGTTTTCCGTGTTGGGAAGCCAAAGTTAAAGAACACCACTACCTGGAAGCCTTTTGGAATACGGCGCGGAATCAGGTTCAGTAGAACATAGGTATGAATTTATGCTTTAGTTTAGACTATCAACATCGCAGTGATTAAACTGGAAAAAAGACAAAACAGCGTATGAAAAAACCAAAGAAACTTTTATCCGTCTGTCTCTTTTTAATTTCGTAATTATTGCGTGCGTTCATTCCATGGTTGTTGGTGGCTCAACGTCTATATCATATGCTATTGCTAATATATATATATATATATATATATATATATATATATATATATATATATATATATATATATATATATATATATATATAGTCACAGATCGTAACAAGACGAGGCAACACAACATGATGATCATAACATTTAACATGTCGTTGTGTGGTTTATAGAATTCCATCGCAGCGCAGCGCTTAAAGGGGATATTGAATAGCTTAACACTAGCCGAGCCCTGAGAAATAGAAGTCCCGTAAGCCGATCAGAAGTGTGTAATATAAAGAAGATACTGATGATTTCAAGGGACTTCGTGATAGTGCCCAGAGCTACGAACTAACGCTGTACACCCAGGCTACGGCGGTTAAACAAATGATTTTACGTCACCACGAGTGAGTCTGCAAAACATACAAAAGACTAGCAGGGGCGAAACATGGTCACCCCGGTGGCCTAGTTGAGGTGATATAACTACCCAGCAAAACTAATCAATTCGCCACATCCAGTGGCATAACAAGAAAAGTGAGAACTGGCGCATAAGCTGTCAGTAGCAAGAGGGAAATGTTATATCCATATGTTTGTACCAACTATGATTCAGATACGGAGGAAAAAGTGGCAAAAATAACGACAGGTTACAACAAAGTTGAAAGATAAACATAAACGAGAAAAAGGACACTAGCTGAGTGGCGATGCCTACAGGTAGCAATAATAATGGTAAAGAAAACCAAAGAAAAAGGAACGAAGGTGTAGTCGTGCAATAGTTGGATGCAAACCCTAAAAGCAGCGGGTCAAACGCGGAAAGCAATCAACTTCGTGAGCGCACCCAGTGACTGACACAGTATGTACATCAGTGTTTCGATCAACTGTCCTGTGCTTTTCAAACTGCCTTGGGCAATTTACTTTAGGTCTCCACAGTAACACGCGCACCAACTGCAAACCATACCCAGCAAGATAGGCATTCGACAGGTATCCAAAGAACGCGACTTAACTAGTACAAATGATTCAAGTTCAAAAAGCGACGCAGTTTGGAGCCAGAAGATTTCCTGTCCAAGATGATAACTCCCTAAATGATCCAAGCAGAGAACCACGTGCAAACAATTGGTCAAAGGCAACCTGCTTTTGATGTCCTCAGCACGTCGTGTCCATGCTTCAGGCTAGCGCACCGAACTCACTACATCACCGTACGCGTTGTGCTCGACCAATAAGTTAATATCGCCTCGTCGCTATAGAATGACCGAAACCTGGCAAACTGACAAAGGATGAAATGCGCACGTGTGTGGTCACCAAAGGAGCATCCCTTGAATGCATCATACGATGCTGGATAGTGGTTCGATTAAAACCAGCGACTATCACTATACCTGAGTAACGTCAGAAATAGGTTGCGAGTAAGCAATTGTGACGTCAGTATATCACGATGGTTCAGATAGCGAAACGGAGGCTTGAAGTGCTATCCCAAAAGCCCGTGATAAAGTTTTTAGGAGACAATCAGGCAAATCTTTCTTAGCTATAGGATCAATAACCAAAGGTTCTCGACACCCATGCTTGAATTGAGCTGGAAGAGCACTCGGTTAATTCCAAACGCAATAACTAAATACATTGCAAATTCTGTTGGTCAAAGTGGATCCTCAGATCGCATGCGAAGACCTTTCCCGAATGTTAAAGGTGATCTGAAATTGAATACCAGATAAAGCAGGTTTATGTGCTTCATTTAAAACAGCTAACGGATTGGGAATACACTAACAGCTCGGATGAGGTGGGCTGAGAACATAGGTGGATTTGGATATATTCTAGGGTGTAGTGGAGATCATTCCAATATCGACTCAATGACACCTGGAAAAAGCGACCTAGGGTAGCTCAAAGGATCACAGAGGTACGCAAACCACCGCAACATGGTTAGGGTGAATTGAGAAAGAAGTTCCTTGTGGCGACTACATTAGAATCTAGACATGTAAACTAGATTGATAGACTATTTCAGACAGACACACATGTTCTGTGATGGAAAGGGAGGTGGTCACCTTAAGTCCGATTCGGCGCTTCGTTGGAAGGAGGGTGAGTGAGATGACTCGAAAGTCGGTGTCAAAAAGTGATGTTGCAGCGATTGTGTTAAGTAGATAGCTAAAGAAACCAATCGTAATCATTAGGCCAGCAGGCGATAACACTGGAACGACACCTAAGGTCAGTCGTAGACGTTTTATTCGGGAGTTTACGTACCCAACAACGAATAATATAATTTCGCACCCGGCCGTATGAAAGCAGTGGGAGTTGACAGTTGAATTTATTTTCGAGAACATCCATGTTGTAGCCCGTAGGAGCTTATGCCCCGACAAGACTGTGCTTATTAATTACTGTGAAAGGTAGGAAGCGAACAGCGCACATATGGCTGCAAACCCGGGAGAATGAGGTAAGGTTAATCACAAAAGTTCTGCTGGCCTGAATCCCAATGATGTGACTAAATCGAATAAACGACTTGGTAGCAAGAGAGGTGGAAAATAACGGTTATCGAAGAAATGTGCGACGATGGAAAAGTCAGTAGAAGTTGTAGCCTGTGTGCGCACATCAATCTAAAAAATGGGAAGACCAAATATAAATCGACAGAACTGAATGCTTTAAGCATTAGCGGACTTACCACATCTGAAGAAGAAATTGGGCGTTCTGGATTTGCTCAGGTGTACCGGTGATAGTAATGATGCGGTCCTCAACGCCAGGTTCCTGTCGGCTGATTTTTATATCAGCGTTGGACTCCTGTCGCACTTGGTTGATCCGAACACCGGAACGACCCATTATAGCACCGATCATTTTATTGCTAACCGAAACTTGAGTTGTGGTAGTGGGTGTGAGAAAGTTCATCGCAACGCGATTAGGTAAGCTGTAAACGGGGGTCAATAAAATATGTATGAAATTTCTGTCGAGAGTGAGTCCAATGGATCAAGATATGTGAACGTGTGGGTTAACGGAACAGAGTTAGATAATAGCGGAAAGAACAATAACCTAAAGCGTACACAAAAAACAGGTCAGTAAAAGAGGAAAAACAGAATTGCCGGAATAAGGACCAGAAGAAAGGACAGTAGCAATACATGGTGCTCTGAATGGAAGGCAGTTAATTGCGGGATTCCTGATTGAAAAAGCATCGGCCGGGTCCACAGATATCATGCAACAACGTCAGCATCCGAGACGCATCGTCATATCACATGTTTCCAAGCGATCAAACAGGCGTAGCGGCCAGTAGGCGTGTGAATGATGTGACATTGATGAAAAAAGAAAAATGACGTCAGCAGTACGGTTAGCTGCCGCGATGTAGCTGCAACTACGCGGACTCGAACCAGTTGTGCGGGAGATCAGACCTACAGGGCCTGATGTCAAATATCAGCTGCTCAACCTCATTAGCTTCAAAAGGAAAGTAATTAGTGGGCGTTATGCAGCGAAACTTCTGAAATTAGGTTATCGTGCCAATGCGCAACCTAACTATGATACAAGTATCGAAGAGAGACCAACATAGTTTTCTTCGCAAGAGAAAAAACATAAAGGCAAAGGAATGCAGAAAAGCAAGACGAACAAACGGACTACAGCAGAGCAAAGATAGAAATGACAGAGGAAATAGCAACAAGTTAGAAAAGAGAGGTAACTGAAGACAGCGGACGGGTGCAGTACCTTATGGGTACAAATAAAGCAAACGGGATTACAATCAACGCTTTTATGTAAAAAAGAAAACTAAAGTTGCGAAACAAAGGCCCCATTGGACAACCGTTAACAAAGGTGCAGCGCAACAGCCGGAGGGCAATAACGTAAATGCAGGACCAATGCGGGTCCACAGACCGTTAGACTTGAGCTAAACAGGAGTTCTTAAAACGACAACGCTACCTGGCGCATTGACGAGTTTCAGGAAAGGAGATAGACAGGATCACAAAGCAGGCAGCGCAGGCTTTCCAACAAGTGCCAGAAGAGACAGACATAAGCAGTGTGCTGGTAAATCCTACCGACGTTTCGTCTGCACATGGCCATCAGTGATCACGAGCAGGCCAGGGGTGTCTCTGGGTAAACTGCACCCAAGCAAGCTCGAATCTGCTATCCCTGGAGTACAAGATACACGCTCGGTTGATGGCCGACGCAATCAGGGACATCGTCAGCACTTCAATTCACATTAGATGAGATCACATGGTTCGTTGGGTGAGGCGCTTCATCAGCATTTCAGGAGACTTTCCACCTCAGAGCTGCGCTGTGCCCAGGTGACGTAGACAGAGTTTCCAACCAAATCTGAGGTTTGTAATAATATCACAGCCCTCATGTCTGTGAAACATTGATCGACTTAAGCTCGACGAGTAGCGCTTGACACGGCGGTTAGATATTCGTTGGGTCTCGGAGCACCATCTGTGTGTTTGGATTCCGACAAGCAAACTCAATTTGGGCCACTGTTATTTCGACCACTGGGAATGCATCCTATATATTTTAACAAATCTAGAGAAGCGAGACCATCAAAGCCGGCCGGGTCGAATCGATTGTAGTTGCACTGTTTAAGGAAGGTAATCACAGGGGTATCAATTTGGCACTTGTTAAGGAGTCAGCGTTCAGGCCGAGAGCAATAGTGCAACAGTGAATCGATCCACATTTAGAGATCGAAGGTAAGATCAAAATGCGTATCTATGTGGAATCAACGGCAAGTCGGACCATGAACTTGAACCGTTTGAGTTGAGTTTATTAATACTAATTAGCATCTCCGATTTTGTTGTGTTAGTGGTTTCCTACAACATATTTATTGCGCCATGCTCTCATACAATAGAATCAGAATCGGAATTCCTCGATCCGACTGGTCTTGGCATGCTCATTTCGTAGCGGGATTGAACTGGTTGGGGGCGGCACAGCAGATGGAGGTAGGTTATGCGTAAAGTCAGCGGAAACCACAACACATTTCTGGCGACGGTCAGTTGCATGCTAGCCATACATTCAGCGGCATCACAACATATTGCTGGGGGCATCACAATATATTTCTGGTGACGGAGATGGGATGGATCAAGACGGTTGCTACAGTCACTTGGAATGCACATTTTTCACAAGTACATGAGCAATTTAGAGCCGCTTGGTTACACAGGATATGGATTTCACCCGACACTTATCTGTTCAGTAAAGTGGAGCTTCGGCATCCAAGCATGACCGAGACCGTCAATTGACAATTATATTTGCAGCCGGCGGTCCTCAGGTAATTACAAATGATCGGGACAGTCACTCGACATTTGCCTCTTTAGTCGGTAGAGTATCGAAGAGCCTTCAGTTGACGCAGCAATCAACAATGGCTTACAGCAAATGTTCCGAGCTCCAAATAAGGGAAGGCAACAGTCCCACTTCCCTTGCAGTTGCAACAATACAAGTGTCAGACGACCCTCAAGAATGTCATGTAATTAATACTTTCTTTGCGGGGAAGGTGTTAGGGTTAGAACAGTCCCAACTAACCTAACCACCATGATCGTAAATCAACCGCTATCGATCACTGTATTGAACACTCCGTCATAGCCAGAGCAGCATTCGGCATCATGGGCCAACGCGGTACGGTTGTTCAACTTCAGGCCAGTAGCCCAATTTGGTTCAACACATGGATCCTCGATATGTGCCCATTCTATTAGTACCGGGTTGCAACAGCACTTGTAGTAACAGAGTCACCGCCGGCTTACGGGAATCCGTGTGAGAGAGGTGGATAAGCTTCAGATCTAGACCGAGATGCATGGACCGTATTTTTACTCTCAAGCAGGTAAAGAAAGAAAGGCATCAGCAGTACGCAGTACCGACGCTTCGCTGCCGCGCAACCATCACCGGTAAGCACGTCGGCTAAGGACACTGCGAGGGTCGTGCTACCCCTAGGCAGGCTCGAACCCGCGCCGTCATACTACAAGACAACCTTGTTACCTTTAAGCTACGAGCCGGCTCTCAAACAGGTGCTGGAGTCTCCAATCAAATCTGAGGTTCGGAATGAAGTTCGTGTCCGCGCTGCATGTCTGAGTCTTTGCGCGGTCTCGCTCTCTACGGATGTTGGTTGAGAGTTCTGTAAAACATTGATAAGCCTGTTTAACAGATCTAATGGAGCGAAACCATCAAATATAGCCGAGTCGAACCAATTATAGTTGCAACGCGAAAGCCAGCCGTGAGAAGCCAGAGCGGATTTGGTCGACCCATTACCATTAAATGTTAGTTATAGGTAAGAAACATCTCAGGTATTGCATTGCATCACAAATTAATCAGATGGACACAAGAACAGAAGGGAAATATTAAACTTTATTTCTATTACAAGTCAGAAAAGAAGTCAGTCAGAAAGAAGGGGTAAGCGGGACAAAATGGAGGAGCAAAGAAACCGATACCTCAAAATCATGCTGAGGTCGGTTAGGGACACTGCGGGATGCCCGTAGCCACACGTGTTCTAACCAGTGACCTTTGGACCACAAGGCTTAGTACGATCGGGTATTCGGCACGTTAACAAGTGTATACAACCAAACGTGTTCATCGTTTTTGAGACCCCCAGCCCGGAATTCAAGAGGCACTAATGGAGACCACCACTGGTCGCACGTGAACTGTGTACAAGGGGAGGTCGCTCTCACGTTTGCGAATTCCAACCGGTTGTCTCTGGTTTATAGGGCAAGCCTCTAATCCTTTCGGCCAACGGCCGATGTGAGGAAACGAAGTCGTACGCAATCAGAATCTAAAGGAATTGGAGTTGAGAAAAAGAGCAAAAACGAATCGGGATGAAATGAAAATCAGTAGCTATATACAGGAAAACGAATTAGGGAGTGCCACTGAATGCGCGACTGCGCCATATCCGGTAAAGTCTCTAAAGAACTTTGTGGACCATCCCGCGACCACCATCCACGAAGAAGACATACACCAGTTTGACCAAGTCTCTCAGCCAATTTCTTCATGCCCTTAGGCCACGTCATCCATTGCCCACCCCGCAGTTTCGCTCAACTTGATGCAACGATAGCAAATAATACACGATGAGGAAGGCGGTCAACGGGGATACCGAGGACAAGATACCAAGGCAACGTAAGCGATGGAACATTAGCAAACTCTCCAGTGAGGCACCAGAGCATTTCTTGAGGAAGAATAAACAACTGACAGACCTCAATGTTGCGTGGTCGGTGCTCCCACAGTAAGCGCCGATGATCAAACACTGTGAACTGGCCACGTCTCTGATCCATATAGCAACCCTAGCGTCATTGAAGCCTTGTACTCATTTCACGGACAGGCTGATATCCCACCGTCTCTATAGATGGCAGAGCCTCTGAAAAGTTCACAGTGGAATGGCTGACACGCGAAGTAATCACCTCAGTGATGCGGCCACCAGAAGTGAGACAAATACCAGTGTAAATGAACCGGTTGACCATCTCCAGTGGTCGTTCGGTAATAGCTAGGACGTGTGGCGCATCAGTCCAGTCCTGCAACGATATCTTTTAAGCTGAAGGTGCAAAGCCTAGACAGAAGTGTGCAAAGCTACGCATAAGTCTATTCAGTGGTGTTTGCATAACCATTGCGCCATAGAAAAATGATGTATCGTCCGCATACTCAAGGTATTTCGGTGAGTCACATGGTACAACAGCCACTTCTGAACAGTGCGAAAGTACGGTCAGTCCTGATCATTTCGACCAGGTGGTGGTGAACAACATCTGCTGTGGAAAACTCAGGATGCGGTCTCTTGTAAACCCTTACTCGGCTTCAGGACTTGAGGTGGGTTGTAGTATGAAAATGGGTTTCTCTGTTACGCTCCTCAGTGATAGGCAGTGTCACAAGCTGACAAGAGTTACAGTCGAAAACGGCTCTCAAGCCAGAGAAAACAACCATAGTAGATTTGTAGGTAAGCGTTTGTTCTAACATTTGGTGAAGGGTAAATAAA